TTTTTTGTTGGCTAACCGTCCATGGACAATGGGCAACTCATTTGTAGCTTTAGTTAATCCCTCAATTAACCCTTTTATCTCTCCTAATTTACAAAACACGCCATTGAGAAAAAAAAAATAAAAAAACCGAATCCGAAGAACAGAACCAAAACCCATTCCATTTGTCTCTTCAGATCCTCCTTTTTTTGGTTCAATTAGAGCTAATTATAATTATTTTTAAAGGTTAATTATTTAATTATAACATAGTATTAATTAATTACTTTGCACTGAACTCATCATCAACAGCTAATCATTGAAATAGGAGGGACAAAAAATTGCCGCCCAAGCAAACATAAACGGAGAGATAACAGTTTCTGAAATAATCTGTAGAAATAGGGGTCATTTGCCACCATTAGAAGAGTTAGAGGATTTAAAAGCTTCTGTTTTAAGTATAGGGTCTGATCTGCCCTTTTGCCACTAAAACGATCAAATTTTAGTTATCTTATTTTGAATTTTTTTTAATCCTATGAACATGAGTTTCAAAGGAGAATTTCGTTTATTAAACTTTTGATATTCAAAAGTTATATTATGCCAAATTAATCTGAAATCAAATTGTGTCATATAAAAAAACCTCTTATATCATTTATCTTTCATTCATAAAACTAGAATTTTAGAGCTTTTACTTAAACTTTTGCTTAAAATATACCAAGCTCCTTTCCTTTAGAATAATAAGTCATTTGTTTAAATGAGAATTTAATATAATAAATAAATAATCATTAAAAATTTTTATGATTAAATGAAACTACTAACAAAAACTACATATATTAAAAAAATTCAATTATAATTCTACATGATTAAATTTTTATATAAAGTTTATCTATAAAAAGTTAAAATGTTAAGTGAGAACAACTGTCTTGGATGAAGAAAGTAGAAGGATAAATTTGAAAAAGTGTATCAGATACATAAAAACTTTACTTTTCTAAAAAATAAATGGTAAAATAGGGCATGCATAATTATTATGGCACAATAAAATATTAAGGTTATACAAATAATTGAACATGGTCTTTAAAAACATTAATTTTGTTTGATTTAACTATTAAAAACAAAAAATAATTGTAGTTCTTCCTTTTCTTTTCTTTTTTTGAAAGGCAATAAATAGTTGTAGTTGTTAATTAATACTTTCTCTGGTCTTTTTTAATTGTCTTAATCTTTTCACTTTATGTAAATGAACTCCATAATTTAAAAAATAAATAAATGATAATTAAAAATTTTCTTTGATCTAAGTAAAAATATTTAATAAGAACTATGTAGTAAAAAAAATTAATTATCATCTATTTGCTATATAAAATCATCTAATCTCATAAAAAAATCAAATTAAGACAATTAAATCTGACAATAATAGATAAAACAACTGATATTTATTGATAAAGAGATTGAAATAAGTCTATAAATAGATTTTTTTAATATTACAAGCAGTTGTTTAAAAAAAAAATATTATGATTTGCGGCAGCATGTTAGTGGTGCATAATTTATTATACTCTGTGCTTCAATTATGTATCCAACACCAGTTTTGTACATGAGTTGTAGTTTCCTTTACACTTCTTCAAATAAAATCTTCCTCTATTTGATATATTTGTATTTTAGAATTTAATTTTAGTAAATTATTTAATCTTTTTCTTTGAGTATGCTAATTAAACGTAGAGATTAAAAATTAGAACTTGAAAAATCAATCCCGGTGGTTATACAAGTTAGGAAACTCTTGTTATTAGGTTGCTTAACAAAGAAACGTTAAGAAGTAGATTGGAAAAAAAAAAAAAAACGAGGATTTGGCTTTGGACTACTATGTATCTAGACTCCGAAGTTAGTGTGTGTGTATTGTTATGTGCAGATTTAATGAATGCAACATTAATCAATTGTACAAATTAATTAATTTAAAGATGAAAATCTACCTCGCTTAAATGGCTAGTGCTTTCCCCGAATAACCTTCAAATGAAAACAGAAAGGGATATGCCTAATTTTTCCCCCTTTTTTTTTTCTGGAGCAGCAAAGGGAGGGGCGTACTGAAACGCTTCTCCACGGATTGCTCGGAATTTCTAGCTGCATAAAAGATTTTCATTACATGTAA